TGATAAGATACTTCAGAATACCACTGGGATGGAATAGCCTTTTTTTTTTCAAAAAGGCATCGATGTTTCAGATCAATTCGCGAATGACTATGCCTTATGAATCCAGGTTACAAAATATAAATCTACTTTATTGTATTCCCTAAACCATCTATATTTGTATTGTTTTTAATCTAAATCTATTACAAACTATTTTAAATACGAAAAATATTAAGACGACTGAATATTCAACCTTTAAGTACAACATAATCGGAATCGTGTGGAATGTATTTTGAATGGAATCGAACTTCAACTCGTTTGGAAATTAATTAAATATGTAGGCCTGATCATTAAATGTATCACATTTAGAGATTTATCAAAAATTTTAATATCCTGTGTGTAAAAAAAAATAAAATGTTATTATACAGAGTTAATTTATACTTAAAATATCGACTATGAATACTGGTGTAAAAATAATGGGGAAATAAGTTAATAATATGATGTGAATATTGTTTGATTAGAACACACTGCCAACATTTTCATTGTCAACAAACTTCAACTACAACTTGCTTACCATATGCGAAATCCCTTCGATTGTGGACATTAATTTCAGTTGTTTTTCATAATAAACTAATTTCATCAAAGCTCTTTAAGGGGGTCGTGTAGTTCAAAAGTAACTAAATAAATATAGAAAGAGTTTTCCTTCAATGTTCTTTATCTTTCCGTTTTCATTTGCGCAATAGTCATTTTGATTCGGAAGTTGAATGAAAGTCACTGATTCTGCCTTCGCGTGTGGTAAATTCTTGTATTAGAGTGATTCCTATACGTTCAAAGTGGAAGCGATTTGAAGATTCCCAGGCTTTTTCTGTCCAAATTGAATCAAGTAAGTAATTCTTACTTTACCCTCGAGTATATTACAATTTAGAAAAACATAGCTTTTTACAGATAAAATTTTCAGGAGTAAATTTGAAGCCGTCAAGAGAAATATTAGATGGTTATTTACATCCTTGTGAGCCCTGAGTTAAGTATCCATTACGTGACAAGTGGCCCTCAAGGGAGGGGTAGCAGATATTTTACTTCTAATGTTCATAGTGAGAACATTTCGCTTAATTTCAAATCTTTATCTCTTATCAAAAAAGAAGTCATCTACAAATGAAAATACAGATATTTCTTTGAAAAAAATTGGAAGTTAAAAATCGTGAGTTCAGTAAAGTTTATGTTTTCCCACGGTTTAATTGACAATACAATGATATTAAATTAACAAAGTTTGTAATGTGTTAATCAGGGAGCCAGAATTAAACCCCAGCTTTTTTATTACTGTCTTGACGTTTTTTGCTCCAAAACTATTTTTATTGTCGCCTAGCTTTTCGTATGTTTCTTCAATTTCAGATACATTTGTCAATATGCTTTTCACATGCCAAATATTATTTTTGTATGTTTAGATAATGAAAAGGCACTTGTTTTCAAACAGAATTTCTGTTGCAATTTTGCCGTGTAATTTTTTATTTTATTTATCACAAAAGTCGAAAAAAAAATTCACCATATTTTTTGATAAAATAGACCATAATAACATTTTTTATTATTTTGATGGAAGACTACTAATAAGTATGTCATATATTATATCGAACATTATTTCTGAGTGAACCATTACTCCGTTTTAGTTCTATTCTTCGACAATCATCTTGATACGTGGACATGTCATAAAATCCGTTTCAGACATCGAATACATCTTGTTCTTGGGCATTCCGTCAAATAATAACATTATAGAGTACAAAAATTTTAAAGTTCCACATAATGTCTCAAAACAAGATAAATTACCTTGAAATAGGCCTACAAACTAGCAATTGAATTCATCGACATAAAATCAACAATATCAAGGGGTTGCAAAGAGGTTTTTTTTTTAAATTTTATGTGTACCGGGGACACTGATAGAATCAATGTGAACTATTCCAATTTTCAATCAGACGTCCTCCATACACATAAAAAGTTAGAAAACCTTTTTACAATCCCTTTAATACTTTTTACGTGACGCACAAATGCCACTAAACTCAAACTTATTGTTGTCAACTCAAACTTATTGTTGTCAACTCAAACTTATTGTTGTCAACTCAAACTTATTGTTGTCAACTCAAACTTATTGTTGTCAACTCAAACTTATTTGTGAGCTCTGCACATCTTTTAAAAAAATAGATAGTAATGCGATTTTGATGCGTGGAAGTTTCTAAATTTATGTATTTTTCCCGAATTCGTATTTATTTGTGGATGGCTTTCGCCAGTAAAAGCATGAGGCGTATTATGTATTTAAATGTAAAAAATGTGAATCATTGCAGAATGAAAGAATTTAGTAATAATAAATATTATAGTAAATATTTTGGAAATCAAATGCTTTTTGATGGGTGGAACTGTATTTTTCTTTTCCAACCAGATTGTGTTTTGATTTGGAAACAGGGATTATTGGTACCATCTATAGCTCACAAATATGTCTAATTTTATGCTCAATTTCAGGCCTCTTTAACTTAAGACATAAAATTATTTATTATGTTTTATTTTGTATGAAAGTTGACAGATTATACAAGAGAAACTGCTGTCGAAAACTTCTTATTTATTGCAAGTTTTTCTTGGTATTATTTGACATGCATTTATTTCACGTAATGAGCAATGAAGGCAAACTCTTTAGATTTTTCAAGCATCCATTTTCCACTGCATCAACTGTGAAATCCTTTTATTTGTTTTCTCTGAAAATATTTTTTCACGTGGCTGAAATGGCATGAGCAGATATTGGTGGAAATCTGACAGATTTTTGATTCGTGAAAACAGAACTAACTAATATTAAGTAAGGCAATGATGTAATAACGATTTCTAGAATCTGAAATTCTTCGTTCTTTTGGGTATAATTCATCCACTTTATGATGTCTTATTGAAATGTTGACACTAATATAAACAAACTTATCTTATTTATCAGTTTTAATCAAAATTTATATTTGAAATTCTTGAAATATCCATATTTTATATGACCAGACAGATTCTAATCTTTTCTATTAATTAATCGTTTAATTGTCGAAATAACAATTTATTTAGAACAGTCTTTCTCTTTATATTCTCCTTATATATTTTTTCGAGATGGAATGGTATTAGCAGGCTCATTTCTACCGGGAACTAAATGGGGATATTCATGACACTAGACTTTAAATTTATAAACACATCTGTTTAATTTTGTTCATAATCCAAAGACATTGGCGTTAATATTGGCGACCAGTAGGTTCCGTGGCGTTTCTACGGAGGGGGAAGATGCTGGCCCGGCTTTGAAAGATTGGTCCCCCCCCCCCCCCTAGAAATTTTTGTGGCCCCTGCTCGAGCCTCTCATCTGTTGTTTCCTAAAATGCCACCGCGTAGGCCTATTTGACAATATTCCCATAGACGAATGTATAACTGTAATATCAGGGTGGTATAATATTATGTCATGGACAGTGTCACAGACAGTGGTGAGAGATTTTGGCTGTGCTACATGCAATTACATGATAAACTATGCTCCCATTCTTTTTCTCACGGTTCACATTTCACCAAATAGGGAATAGTTTGAATATGGAAAGGAGAAAAATAATATTTGGAATTATCGAATCCACTAGTGCTCTGTAATCTGTGTCCTACATCTTTTCCGAAAACTAAAAGAAAAATATCAATTCTAAAGTATGATCTCGTGTATTGAAAATGAGAGTTACGTGAAAAAATAATTGGACTGCAATATCCTTTGAGTTTGGCATCTCTTGCAATGGATATATTTTACGGCATAACTTTAATGTCAATGCTTATAGCTCAAGATAAACAATTCAACGTGCATTGTACTGAAGTAAAACATGAATTTAAAATTATATGTCTATAGAATAGCAGCGAAAAGAACATCGGAAAATACCAGCCTTGTTAGGGCGACATTACTGTACATGCATGCAGGTCTCAAATTAATACTGTTCGTGTGAGATTTTCTGAATGATTTTCTATGTATGTCAACTAGTGCACAATACTGCATATTATGATGTACAACATGCAATAAAAGATCAGAGATGAAGTCTTGATATATACGCCATAATCTACACAATGATAAACTATATGATAATATATGACCTTGGACCCAGATATTAAAAATACTGATTAATGACTTTGGTGAATTATAAAGAACAATTTATCTCTACAGTGACATAACCGTCTCGACTTCAAAGACAATGTTTTGAATATGCAATGAATGGAATTTATCAAAATTATGTTCTTATAATACAGAGAGACTTAACATTGGCTCATTCGAACCTCGTGTTGTATTGTGTTAATAGGTGCGAACAGACGTACTACCAACGTGTTTCTTTTCGGATTTGCAAGTATCCCACGTCCGAAATTCTAATCTAGACACGTACCTTATAGCTTACTAGTCGAAATATACGCCTCTATTCCAGCCTCGGATAGCTATTTTGAAAGTTGTCGGCTGGTGTTGGAACCTACGACGGTGCGGGGGGTTTTAAACCTATTTATTTAAATCGGATCAGCCAAATCCTGAAATATGCGGAAAGATAGAGTAGAGGCAAATGTTCCGAACTAATAGCTTGCATAAGTTTAGTCGATTCTTAACAAAAGTTTTGAATGCAAAAACATGTTTAAACGAATGTTTGCTCTGATTGAACTGTTAAAAGTTGACTTTTCAGTATGCAAATCAGTATCATCCGGTATACGCATGTCAATTTAACTCACTGATTTCATTCAATTAGAAAAGTCATAGACGCCTTCTCGAAAATTTTGAAAAAGGAGGCTGTGTTCCTTAAAAGCTGCCAACCACTTAATATAAAGTATTATGATTAGCTACAAAGGTTCATGAGCAGTGCTTCTCAACCTCAGCGAGATCATTCGTCCCTGGAACAGTTATTCCAAATCTATTCCTCCTCAAAATTAATTAGTCATATTGAAACGTAGTTCACTCGAAAAATGAATTCAACGATAAACCATGAATAGATATAAAATCAGACCCCACATATCTAGATAGTTCAACGTTTGAATGTTCTTTTACGATTTTCTGAATACCCGGGGTGAATGATGCCAATTTCAATCGTAGATCGCCTCACTCGTTTATATTCAACGAACTTGAGGACACCATTAACCGTGTTGAACCCACACTCAACTAAATACGTGTAAGAAATGGCAGCAGTAGATTCCTCTCTATACCCCGCTGGTAATAATTCTTCCCCGAGGTCTTGCAGGGATGATTCTTCCACTGTTGAGAAGCTCTGTTCCAGAGAAATTAAATTTATTAACTTTATCACATTAAGCTGTAAATGATTTCCAGATTGTGCGATGCTCACGCGCTTGCCTATTTTTTGTCAACGACCTGGTCTGGGTTTCTGTGATTCCAGCATGCCTGATTCGTAAGATGTTATATATGAATTATACTTTTGAATTTCCCATTTTGAAATTAAGCAGCATTTGATGTACCCACATTTTTCAACCGATAATTGACCATATTGAAAGGAACTACTAAATACCAGTTGTTGGTATATAATTGGAATGTGTCAGCTGTGTTACCACCTTTATTAAATCTCTATCATCATTAGTATTTTCATCTGTAGACACCTGTATATAGAGACCACACATCGCAAACCTAAAAATATATTTTTTTAGAATCAGTCCTGTTAATTTCACTACAAGTGTGTGTCATTTTTTTCCAAATAAAAACATGGTTCTTGTATTTTCTGAAATTATACAGTGAGTTTAAGATTTTTTTTATCTTCCTCTTTAAAAAATTAAAGCGTAATTTTTCACCAATGCATCTCATTTGAAATTCACTTTCAGGCTCAACCACAGTGAAACGTTGCAATATTGTAAGAATGTATTTAAAACAAACCAAAACCGAGCAGACCGATCGAGAGTTATTAAAAACAACGGCAACTCACACGATACCAGATTTAAATTCTTTAATCTTCGAAAAATAAAAGATTCAGCAAACAATATCTATAGTAGTAACATCTTGCGCTGATTGAAAAATCTTAATATCTGTCAATATTGTCTTAACATTACATCAAGAGAATATTTTTTACAATACTGTCATTTTTTGTATTTTGAAGTTTTAAAATATAGGATAAAGGATAACTGTATATATTTACTTGATTGATCAGAAACCTAATAAATAAAAGCTGTTGCTTCCCAGTTTGAAACAGAAAATATTTGTTGTCATTTTGAAGCGTTTCAATCATTATAATAGGAAAAAAAATCTTGATTAATTATAACAATCGATTCAATGATAGTTTTAGATTTGGAATCAGATTTTGAAAATTGAACTTAGTAGTCACTATAACTTTTTACATTAAATTTGAAATCAAATCTATATACAATACACAATAATAGTTAGTGTATTGTATATGAGCAAATTTTTTGAAAATTCTTTCCATGATAGATTGAAATTTATAAAGCAAAATATTGGCATCTAATTCAATAAATGTGATATTACTGTAAAATTTGAGAATGAAATTATCTCCCCTCAATAATTGGATTTCAGTAAACTACCCAGGTGACAAGCGACGTTTTAATACAAATAAAAGGATTACCACGAAATACTGACTATATCAAATGTCTTTAATATCATTACTAAAAGTAACAATTGTCGACTAACACCTTATTGTAGATTCTACGATTTAGTAATTGTATCAAGGCAATGATACACTCTACATCACAATAAGTTGATACTATTGTCGACAAGAAGGAGTTGACCCAGGACCTCGACCTACGTGACGATACAATACAACATCCCTCCCCTAACTGTGTGATTTACCAACACCTTGATTTGACATGGATGTGAAGAATACACAAAGTAAAGATTTTCTGTGTTTACCACCCACCTTTCAATAGTAGAAATACAATTTGATCTACTCTCCATTACAAGTTATTCACAAATAATGAAAATAGTTAGAAATTTGATAAAAACAATAATACGGGAGTTGGGAAGATATCGCGAAATTATGTTCCCAAGGTTAATTTGACTTTTTAAAAAGCATCACGACTTTCCTTTACTTTAAGTTTCACCAGAGTGTTTAAGATTAAATAGTAGAAAATATATGTGGAAAGATCTTGAAAATCAGTTTTGGTTTGTTTTGTACCCTAAAAGATATTTACAGAGGTATTTTAAAAATTCTGCATAATAAACATTATTTTTACCCAATCTGTCAAATTGAAAAAAAAAAAAAACTGAGAGCATTTTTATTTTAGGTTTACAAACGTTAGGTAAAGCAATTCAGCTGTTGATCTGAATTTTAGTGAAATAAAATGATTTGCTTTTGCACTTTTGTTGAAAGGGACAAGGTAATACGATAAAGAACTTATTAACAATTCTCCATGAACATGCTCAGATTAGAAGTTGTAAATCATTTATAATATCGTCTAAGTAGTAAATCTTGAAAATCATCGAGCTGTGTGGAGTATGTTTACAACCTTGTTTGGAAAATGATTTATGAAATGATTAAGTTAAAGGTAGGCGTGATTTCATTTCACTCCACTTGGCCCTAAAAATTTCAATTCCTCCTTTTACCTTATCAATTTACCTGCCTTTCTTTATGTTTACTAATATTCTATGCGATTTGATTGAACAAACCAACTAGTAGAGTGTAACTCAAACTGTAAAAAACCTCCTCAAATAACGAGTAAGAGGTGAAAGGCACACCTAAACGATTCACTCAGTGTTTGTCCGTATCATCTTGTTGAAGGTGTTATCAACTATTGATAACTATAGAATTTAGACTTCATGAGAAGGCTCATTTCATAAATCTCTTTATTAAGATGTTGGTTCGCACTACCCTAGACCTCTGGATAACAACAAAACAATCTGAATCTTTTGTATTAGATCTTTTCATCTTCAGTAATATCAAGTCAAGCAGTACCTGGTATCTACGGAGATGTAGCAAAATAGTCTTCACAAACCACCGTGTGATTTGGTGTGAACGTCTTACAGTCAAAGTTGTAACTTCAAGAAGGTAGAAAGTTCAAAGTATAATGAAGAAATAAACTAAGTTAAAAAGATACAAATAATCGGCCTAATAATTGGATCAAATACGTGTGGCCTACGTAATACCCATAGAAAAATGAGTAACCAAGGAGGGGTGATACAGTGCAGCTCGTCATAAGATAGTCGAACTAGAGCCTAACACCTGTGAGCTGAACACCCTCAGGCAAAAGGCAACCCCACTTATAACAGTAACCTTCTTTGATGTAGCGAAATATAAGAAATTTCGTTTCGGATTGAAGTTCCCTAAATTTGCTAATTTGTTTGATGATATTGGTCGCGTACATCTGTTGAATCAGGACTGTTTGTACTTGACTGTGCCAAGCTCAACGAAAGAAAATGTTTGATTTGATGATAGAGGTTTAATCGAGCCTAAGTTGTATTTTAAAGATGTTAAGAAGTTTGTCTAACACTTTTACTTATTTTGATAGTTGACTTTAAATCATACAGTCAGGGTTGAATTAGGAATCTGATTTCCAAGACCATACAGCACACCAGATCTACAAAGCTTTCTCTCCAAATATTATTGTATTTTCCCAGTCGCACCTCACAGGCCACGATAATAGCAATTTGTATGTTATGAACACGGATTAAGTTTCTCAAAATATCAGATGAACATAGGTCTACGATCTGACTACTTATGTTAACTGAAATCAACATGAATTACTCTAAGCCAATTCCAGGAACACACACTTGGTGATAAGGGAAGAGAAAAGAGCGGATTCAATTCCTGGTTTTTCAGAAACACAAAGAAGTTTATTGCGGATGGTCGATAAAGATTGGTTGCTATCGTGTGGGTCTGAAGGAGGTAGGGGATGGTGAATATTGCTTTTTACCAAATTTAAAAAAAAAGGCAATGTCTCGACATTTTACTCTTAATCTCCGAGAATCCGATACGACTCTTCGAACCTAGATTGCGTTCAGTTGGACCTTCTATAAAACAGTTTTCGTCGCCATCAGTATTCTATTGATATTTACATGTTCAAAACAGCAAAATGATAGGAAGCGTTTTCTTTACTGAACGCAGGCCTAGATTATGATATCCAACATGTTCGATCATAAGGTACAGTAGCATAATAATCAGAGCGATTGGTAATCCTAGAAAATGTGTAATTTGGCTGGAATCAAACAAAACACCTTTTAAAATCTAAATGATAACCATTATTGTGATCGTTATGTGGCTGGTGTGGTAACAAGGTGAAGTTGTGTCTTTGAATTCTTCAAATTAATATCAATTTCATAGTTCAAAAATATTTTCTTTATCCAGAAATTACATTGTCAAAACATTCAACAAGTTGTTTCAAGACTTGAAAACAACATCCTGAAATCAAGATCTCTTCATAGTCGGCTCCAATGAAACCTCATTATCACCAATCAAAAACCTTATCAAAGGCAGCAACCCCCGACAGTTTACATGAATGAGACCATATCGTTTACACTCTTGTCACAAATGAACACAATTTTAGCTCAAATAGAACTTAATCCTACTTGAAATCGTGCGAAATTTCAGTAAACATCATTATATACAAATTTACCCAGAAACACACGCGTGCCTGCCCGAGAAATGAGCATATTATAAACACGTGATCAGCACAATAGTTTTTATGTCCGATGAACGTGCATTAATGTCAATAAGAAAGCGGAGAGAAATGGAGAATTATTAATATTGAAAATGATACTTGTCTATATCTATACAGATGGTTTGACCTTCTACCTTCTATTATTTTCTATCTATTGAATTGATAGTTGATTGTAAGGAAATTGTCGTGGAATATAATATTCTCATCTTGTATAATGATAGACAACACTTTCTAATAAACAATTCAACATCGTCTTTTAATTGATACCATGTATTTCAAGTATATATCAATACAAAGTTAGTATAACTTGTCATATTTTTGTGGTCTAGCATATATTAACTAATATCACACGGCGTTACTCTGTATTGGGCGATATTGATACTTACATCATTATAGGTTTTCTATGCACTGTGTTGAACTCTTCTTCAAATTGAGAGGACCAGTCGTTTTCTTGCTGGACACAGTTCAAGAACGACAACTGTTGTTATAAATTTACACATGGAACGAAACAAAATTTCTTCCAGTCTTTTAATTCAGGTGTACTATTAATTATTATTATTAATATTTACTAAAGTGTTTTCAAACCTCAGTTCGCTCCCATTGTAACTGCAGTACTACGTGAACATGTGAATATCTATGAAGATTACAAAGACTAAAAAGTTTGGCCAGACTATTGCATTATACAGCTTTTCAAAAGACTTGTACATTCTGCAACCCGTGGAAGTTTCCGCGAAGCTTAATCTACCTTGGTAAATAATTGATCTTTTCGTTTTATATTCTGGAGCGAGCCTCTTCACTTCCGACAACTGGCAAGTGGTTGTAATATTACGACCTGGATATAATCCATAGATTTAGAGGTAATTAATTTACAAAATTACTTAATTATGCATTAAGCGCAATATTGTGACTATCGGTCAACTAATTATACATTTTAGTTTATACAATAGATTGGATCCGTAGCTTCCGAAGTTTTGGTCTTTTTTGGCTATATAAGTAATTTCAATATGCAACTTACCACAGGTAAGAAAAATGCATAATTTAATGTTTCCCCCTTATATCATTAAAGCATTAAGAATTGGATAATTTGTTGTTGTGGTTTTGTAATTCTTTTTATTGAAAATTTAATAAATCATACAAATTTTTTATCATTAAAGACCATCTCATCATTGTTAGTGTCTGACAAATCTTACATCGATCTACAATGGAAACGTTTTAAAACTATAGATGTAAACTTTTGATGGAATATCCATCATTTATGATGATGTATTTATGTCTGTTTAATGTGTGAAAAGTTAAATTTTTATGTATTTTATACAATTTTATCAATATTATTTATTAATGTAACGCTTGAAGTTATCACTTTTGTTTATTTTAAACAAATTCCAAAACCTTGAGAAATGTCAAAATCTTATCGTTTTGTATACATGGGTTTATATCAAATGCAGTGAAATTTTGTTGGGTGGGTTGATTCTGGATTATTTTTTAGGAATCGGGAATCACAAATTATTTCAACTTGTTAGAATTTTTACAGCACACGAATGTTCATAATATGTGATGTGATTGATTACAGCTTAGCACGTTGTTACATACACGTTGTCGCAATGGCACATACATTTATGTACAGTATATGTAGGCTACCGTTACGGGATATGCTACATTTCTCTGATATATGTAGAACACTAGAGTATATTTCTTCAAAACTATATAGTTTGTACCTGTGTGTCTTCTAGAATTTTGTAAATGTTCCGACATTGGGCTTCTAACAAAAAAAAATACATAAAAAAAAATTGCAATAAATGACATCATCGACTTTCATGACATTTCCAACACATGTATTAAATTTAATTATTGACAGTAGGACCCTACGTGTATTTTGATTCTGACAATTGCCATGTAAATAACCAAGTTTCTGCATAGCTTTAAAACCCACAAAAGAATGGATCATTGCAGAAATAGGATCTAGCGTTATAAAGTGCCAGTGTACTTTTCAACTTATTTCTTAAAATACATTCGTCACATGATGATATATTTCTTGTATATGTCACCGACCACAAACAATCTAACATATTCTGAGATTTCGCTTTATCTTACATTCTACAGATAGCTTTTTAATATACTGATGTTGTCTTTTGTGCTAGAAGACATATCATATAAATACTGGTGCCATATCAGGTTACATATGATAGAATATCAAGGAATTGTTACCCAAATTTACAGATCATATTGACAAAATGTGGAATAACTCACAACTGTGTTTTCCATCATATACATTCCCGTCTTGTTCGCAGACGTTGGCATTGA